GGGGGAGTTGAGGGGGGGCTGCGACTGCTTTGGAACGAGGAGATTTGGGGTGAGATGGGTGATTCTTTGTGTAATGTGGATGTGAATGAAGCTGCAAAGAGTGGGGGGGTTCTGAGGCTTTGCTGGGGTGCAGGGGGTGTCACGAACCCGGAGGGGATTCCTCAGCCCGATGCTGAAAGCATTGCAGGGCCACGTCCTGGAGAAGCTGCAGCACCGTGAGCTCCATTAAATCCTTTTTACGATGAGTTCCCAGCTTCAAAAAACTCCAGGCCTGCAGGGTTGGCAGCACTGGGAGACAGTTTTCCTCCCACAGTTAAAAAATAAAGCAGCCCAAGCTGAGATAATGGCACACCGTGCCTTCCTGCTCCCTGCCGAGTTTGTTACAGCTGAGCTGCAGGCATTGGCTGCGAGGTGGGCAGTGTGTGGGGCTCTCTGGATTTAAGGCCAATTTTGCAGCTTTCTATGACAAGAGGAGAGGGCACACCGCTCACAGCCCCTCGTGGTCCATGCAAAATGTCCTTAACAACGTTTCCTTTCTTTTGGGGATTCACAGTGGACTTTGCTCTGAAGGTTGTCCAGTGGTCGGAGTCGGAGACAGTGCGGCTTCAGCTCTGGGATATTGCAGGTAGGTTCAAACAGAGCCCAAAACTGCATTCAGGTTGGGATGAGGCTTCTCCAGGAGATGCAGTCCTGAACTCCCTGTGCTGGGATGGCATTTGGGATGCAGAGCAGATTGGGATGCAGGGTTGTGGGTTCCCCACCCCCCCGTCCCATTTCTGCCGTTTGGGTGTGAGCGTCTGGAATCTTCATAAAGAAAAAACAGGAAGGAGAAGTTTGCAATGAGGGGATTGCAGCAAAGAAACGGATTTCGGTTTCAGTCCTGAAAAGAGGATTAAGAAAAAGTCCCAAAAAGATATTTGGGAAGGGAAAGCAGTGCTTGGTGGGGGCTGAGCAGGAGGAGATGAGTGCAGGTGGTCCCACATCGCTGCTTTCTCACCTCAAATTATGGTGCACCACAGTGCCTCTATTTCCTAAGTGGAGTTTAGAGCTGAAGAAATGAAGTACTGCCGTAGGCACTTATTTGATTGAGTCTTAAAAATGGTAACTTCTGGGAGGATTTTTCTCTTTTCTTTTGATCCTGAAGGGCAGGAACGCTTCACGTCCATGACCCGGCTGTACTACAGGGAGGCATCAGCCTGCATCATCATGTTTGATGTCACCAACGTCAGCACCTTCAGCAACAGCCAGAAGTGGAAGCAGGACTTGGACAGCAAGCTGACGCTGCCGGATGGGAGCCCTGTGCCATGCCTGCTGCTGGCCAACAAGGTGAGCAGCACAGAGCAGGCTGTGTGTGTGTGTGTTGTGTGTTTGTGTGTGTGCATGCGGCTCCACAACTGCAAAGGGAGTGCAGAATGCAAGGAGACAATTCACCAGTAGGTTGTAAGACAGCCTGCGGTCTTCTGTGATTCTTTGAATGGCCAGGGTTGGAAGGGAACTCAAGGATCATGAAGCTCCAACTCCCTGCCACAGGCAGGGCCACCAACCTCCACATTTAATCTCAGCCCAGGTTGCCCAGGGCCCCATCCAACCTGGTCTTGAACACCTCCAGGGATGGGGCATCCACAACCTCTCTGGGCAGTTTCTTCCAAAATCCTTCCTGATGCTTTCCTGAATTCTTCTTGTTTGTCAGTCTCTAGCAAGGCTTTGCATTAACAAGGATACAGTAGGACTTAACACACGGGTGGCACCAAGGAGATGTTAGCAACTGCTTGCTCCTAGGATGCAGTTACTTTTGCAGTTCTGCACCCCTGTGTTCAAAGCTTTCCTCCTGCTCTTCTATTAGCTTGTGCTACACAGCAGAGTTGGTGTGTGACAGACAAGCTCTGCAGGGATGGATGTCTGCTTTTCCTCTGGATGCAGCATCAAGTTTCACTGTGCACACCAGTTGCTGTCACTTAATGATTCATTTTCATTTAAAAAGTACCTCTGTGTTGTTCACGTGCTGACATCAGCTCAGCAGTCATTTCCAGATTCACCTTGCCTGGTTTGAGAGAGCCTGAAGTTGAAGCTGAATCAAAAACATGAAGGTTGGGTGGGAGAGCAGCTTTTCTTCTCTGCTTCTTCACAAATAATGTTTTCCCTGACAGCAGCTGTGCCTGAATTGGGAGCAGCTGTGTACCTATGGGTGCCGTGCTCACACTAACACGGGCTCTCCTTGCACAAGTGCTCCCACTCCTCCCAGTGCCAGCAGTGTGGGTGCCCCAGCAGCAGTGTGCTACTCATGCTATCCTGGTGCTGGTGGGTTGGGGATGAGTGACAATGCTTTCTGGAGGAACCTCCATTCCATGCGTGCTTGACCGAGGTGTGTCAGGATCTCAGATGAGATAAATGTATTGCTGCTTGCAACATCCTGCTAAGAACCTTGCCCTGAGAACTCTGTGTCAGGTTGGGATTGTGGAGATGTGAAGGGCTGAGCCATCCTCCCACTGCCCAACATTGAATGGGCAAGAGGGGAAGTTCTCTTCCCAGCTTGGGAATGGAAAGGTTGAGCCTCACCTGGCTGACTCCTGTTTTACAGTGTGACCTTTCCCCATGGGCAGTGACAAGAGAAGAAGTGGATCGTTTCAGCAAAGAAAATGGCTTTTCTGGTTGGGTGGAAACATCTGTCAAGGACAACAAGAACATTAACGAGTCTATGAGGTAGGAACAGTGATTGAGGCACACTGCTAGAGTTAATTCCCTCCTTCAGACAGCACTGGCTGAGGTAAGGGGAGATGCTGTCAGTGAGTAACAGATAGCAGCAATAACATGCAAGTAAATCTGAAGGGAAACTGAATTCTGAGAGGTCAGAAGTTCTGCTGCCCTTGGTCAAGCAGCTTGTACCCAGGAAGCTGATCCTCTCTTCCTTAAAGCTCTGGAGTTTTGTGTACAACCAGGAGTTGTTGCTTTGGTTTTTTGTTGTTTTGTTTTGTTCTTCTCTGTGGCCCAATGCTGCTTGTTGAAGAAAAAAAAAACCCAATTTTACATCTGTTTGTCTTCCAGAGTCCTGATTGAGAAGATGATGTCCTCATCCACTGGTGATGGAAGTTCTGCTGCTCCCTGGAGGGGGGATTATATTAACATCAAAGAGACGTCCCCGCCAGGCTGGGCGTGCTGCTGATGCACTGACTGCACCACCTGCTTCTGTCTTCTACCCCTTTGTTTGTTTGTTTGTTTGTTTTCAAAGATAGTGAGCTGTCCTCTCTTCAGTGTACATCCACACTCACTAAGCATTGCTGCAACGGCTTGGAAGGAGGAATGGAAGGAGTGAAAAAAGGAGCCCTCTTTCTTCCAGCATAGCAGCAGTGGGAGCACAACGCGGTCTGTGCTCAAGCACATGGCTGGGATTTATCTTTTAAAACATTGAGCACTTTTCTTCATCTTCTCCTGTGGGACATCCTGTGTCATACAGGGTGAAGGACGTGGAACATGTATTTTTAATGCTGTTGCATCTTTTATTCCCCACAACCTGAACCCGACAGAAGCATCATTCCAAAGTGCTGCAGTGACCTTCGTTTGATCCACGCGAAGTTGAATTGTTCTCTCTGCTCCTTTGTGTTCCTGGGGTGTGATTACAGCAAACCCTTCATTCTGTGCTCTGGAACTGCACACCTCTGCCTGCGTATCACTGGAGACCAACGCATCTCAGCATTGTCATCCAATGTCCTTAAGGTGTGGATTTGAGATGTAGCACAGCCCTACATCACGTGTGTGCTGACTGTGGAGCTGAAAAGCACAGACCACAACTCTGTCAAGCATTGCCCAGTTGCCTTCTGTTCCTTCACTCTTACCCTCTGTCTAGCACAATCCTATGTGTTCTCTTCTGCTGCTGCTTTATTAGGACACTGGGAGCTGAATGAGGAATGGCTTGTAAACTCTTTTGTATGACAGAACAACAGTTCTTTTCACTTGTAGCCCACCCTGTGTCCTACCATCTTACAAAGCTTTGCAATTGCTGATGAATTGCCTTCCCACCACCGTTACTGTGCAGTGACTTTGGAGGCAGGCATGGTGCTGGAAGCCCACTGCTGGGTTAGTGCTCCAAAGGGCAAGCAAAGGAAAAGACTTTGCAGGGCAAAAGGAAATGAAGAGACCTGCTCCCTGCTTGCTTTTTTGTGCCTGCTTTTCCTAGTGTATCCCCCAGGTATGCATAGGTGTGAAAGGCTCTTGCCAACAACAGTCTGTAAGAGCACATTAGAGTTATCTTGGAGGAGTTCATAGGAAGGCCAGTCTGCAAGGCTGCAGTTATGCAGCACTGTGGGGACTTCTCATCAGTGTGCTGTGCCATAGAATTGTCCTGCCTGTGCTGAGGTTAGGATTTAAAGAAGTGCTCTTCAATAATGTTTTCTCTTCTCTAATAGTTTACATCTCACAGTGTACCAAAAGATTAAAAGGCAGAAAAGCTTTCCCTTAAGAGCATCCATTGCCTGTGGATGCAGAGTAAGAATAGGAACTGATTACCTTCACTAAGCACCAACAAAAAAGCTGAGTTTTTGTTATTTGAGGTTGAGAAAGATAAGCTGTGAGTAAGGGCTACAAAATCTAGGCCTAATGTTGTATTCCAAATATCTGGGGTAAGATTCTGTTGTACAAATATTGCCAAATCCAGCCTTATAAGCACTTAAATACACCTTTCTCTGTGCCACTGGATTAACTGGAGAAACACATGAAATGTGTAGAAGTGGTTAGGAGAAAAATAGAAATGTCTTGTTGTGTTTTATTTCCTAAACGTGTCAGGGAAAAGAAAAAAAAAATCCTATAAATATTTTTAGAAATACAGGGAAAAGGGTCTAATTTTTAAAAGGATCCGTCATGAAGCTGTAAAGACTCGTGTGTTATTTACTGATTGCTGTGTATGCTATATTTGAGCAAAGGCCAGGAGTTAGAGCATACAGGTGAGCCCATACAGGGGCTGAGGCTCACAGTGGAAATCTCTGCCCAGGACCAATTGCTGCAGCCACAAAAGCTTGGAACTGAGCAGGAACTGCACAGCCATGGTTTCCATGGCCTGCCAACATGCCATGCATCCTGCAGGAAAGCATCTCATGTCTTCTGTACATTGGTTGGATACATACCAGTGCCTCTTTAATATCTAGACCTCTGATTTTTCCTTAAGTGCTTCTCAGATACAAGGAAAAGCCAAAGGAAGAACTCTTCTGATTTTCTTATGTTATACGTGACTCCTGTTCCACTTGTTTTGAAAATGACCTTTGGTTTCTCCTTCCTGCAGTGCCTGCTTTGACATTGTACTCTGTGTGATTCTGGGCAAACCATACCTATTTCACTCCATTCCACGTGTTTCTCATTGCTTAACTCTTTAAATTTGTGGTCATGGGTCTCAAATGACAGCAATCTGTAGATCCATGTAGAAATGTATACTGAAATAGAATAAGAAATAATGAGGTCAAAATTGAGTTTGTTTTTTTTTTAAACAGCTTGCAGTTATGCACAAGTATTTGAGAGACAGGTTTCTCCTTACTGTAACACTGCAGTATTATCATGTCTATACAAAGAGAAGAAACTGCTGGGAGGTTTTTCTCCCTATCAATCCGTAACTGAATGCAGTATAGCAAAGATCTGAAATAAAAGAGTTTGACATTGCTTGTGTAGTAGTTGTTTTCCTGTCTCGAGAGCCCTAAGAAATGGGTTCATGAGATCAAAACAGAAACAATATTGCTGCCAAGAACAGAAGGTGCTATAAAGCATCCAGTGTGGACTGCCCTGTGTTGCCAACAAAACAGATTAGATCCTTTTCACTGGAAAATCTTGCTGTCTTCATTATTGTTGTGTTATTGACCTACAAGTGGGCTATAAGCACATAAAACTTTTGCATCTGTGAGGCAGTCATAGTGGCTTTTAATCCAATATATCCAGCTAAGAGGAGAAAGAAAAGAATTCCTTGATGTGGCTGTTTGTTAATAGGCCTTGCTCCTTATGGCTCATTAGCTCACACAGTGCAGTTGGAGACTGGCTCTGAATGCTCCTTTCTTTTCCTGATCAGCTTGATTTTCATGAGTATTGACTTACAGGAAGGATGGGGCACATCTGAACTGATCAGGAATGATTGCAAAGGGGGCAAATGAGGCTCAGGCAAGGAATTAATGATCCCAATGACTCCTACCATTAGGTGAGAGCTGAGCAGATTGTGTCGTCTTCTCGGACAACCTCAAATCTCACAAAAATGTTTTTTAACAGCATTGATGAAAGAGTCTCTGCAGTACAGGGGTACTCTTCCATTAGTAGAGGGGTGGCCAGCAGGGACAGGGAGGTGATTGTCCCTCTCTACTCTGCTCTTGTGAGGCCCCATCTGCAGCACTGTGTCCAGGTCTGGAGCCCCCAGTACAAGAAAGACAGGGAGCTGTTGGAGAGAATCGAGAGGAGCCACAAAGATGATCAGGGGGCTGCAGCACCCCCCTACAAAGACAGGCTGAGGGAGCTGGGCTTGTTCAGCCTGGAGAAAAGAAGGCTGCAGGGTGACCTCATTGCAGCCTTTCAGTACCTAAAGGGAGCCTACAAACAGGAGGGGAATCAACTCTTTGAACGGGTGAGTGACAGCAGGACAAGGGGAAATGGTTTTAAGCTGAGGGAGAGAAGATTGAGGTTGGATCAGGGGGAAGTTCTTTCCTATGAGAGTGGTGAGGTGCTGGAACAGCTGCCCAGAGAGGCTGTGGATGCCCCGTCCATCCCTGGAGGTGTTCAAGGCCAGGTTGGATGGGGCCCTGGGCAGCCTGGGCTGGTATGA